GGAGATAGAAGGATTTCCTGCAACTATTCCACTTAGAAAGACATTAGAGCAGACTCAGAAACTCACAAATGGACGATGTTTCAGTATTTGCTTGGTAAAACAGTGAGAGATTGGAAGAGAAAATGCATTGGTAAGAGCAAGGAATGGAAGACTCTGTCTCTCCCACTGTTTCCTTTTCATTATCTTGAAATCTAGTTCTGACAACATGGATACAGGATCCGTTTTTTTGTGCCGTAATTAGAGACTTCATACCAAACAATCCACCTGGACTGTCTTTACATTTTAGGAACGTTTCAGCTATCCTTTCACTTCTTGCACTGTCACATTAACCAATAACATTGTTCTGGTTACTAAACATGGAAATAAAAATACCTGGTGCTTGGTCCCAAATCTGAGACTAAGTCTAGGTCGGAGTTTAGGGAATGGATCTGGAATTGAGATGGGATCTAGGGTCTGGATCAGGAGTTGAGTTGAGACTATAGTCTGAACTTTCATGCAAGACATGATGTCAGTTGAGACCAGAATCTGGAATTTCTGCCCCTGCACCCAATCTCTGCCATTTTTATAAGATAGATTGAGGTCAAGTTCTGAACTGCATGCCTAGCAGCTGCCTCCATCCCTGCATGATCTTTGGTGAGATGCATGTCTGAAACCTAAATTGTGCTGATTAGACCAGGGTACCCTTTCAAAGAGGAAAGGTATCCTTTTCTATGTGGTCCAAGGAACCTTGGGGAGAAGTCAGTTACCATTTGGGAATGCACAAAAATCAACAGGAATGTGCTGAAAAAGTGCAAAGAATTATTGGAACTGTCAAAGCTGTCAAGTAACTACTAAGATTTCAAAGAACTCAAGATGGTGAGTACTGTGATAGTAGGAACTGCAGATGCTGGAGAATCCGAGACAACAAGGTGCAGAGCTGGATGAACACAGCAGGCCAAGCAGCATCATAGGAGCAGAAAGGCTGACGTTTCGGGCCTAGACCCTTCATCAGAAAAGGGGGAGGGGAAGGGGGTTCTGAAATAAATAGGGAGAGAGTGGGAGGCGGATAGAAGATGGATAGAGGAGAGGATAGGTGGAGAGGAAACAAACAGGTCGAAGAGGCGGGGATGGAGCCAGTAAAGGTGAGTGTAGGTGGGAGTTGGGGGGGGATAGGTCAGTCCAGGGAGGACGGACAGGTCAAGGGGGCGGGATGAGGTTAGTAGGTAGGAGATGGGGTGCGGCTTGAGGTGGGAGGAGGGGATAGGTGGGAGGAAGAACAGGTTAGGGAGGCAGGGACGAGCTGGACTGGTTTTGGGATGCGGTAGGGGGAGGAGAAAGGAGAGAGATTTAAAAAAGACATGAGGGGCAATTATTTTACACAGAGGGTGGCTCATGTGTGGAATGAATGTCATGTCGAAGCGGAGGATGCAGGCAAAATTGCAACATTTAAAAACACTTAGATACGGACATGTTTGTAAGGATATGGGGCAGGACCAGGCAGGTGGGACAATTTTAGTTTGGGTTTATATTCAGCATGGATTGGTTGGACTGAAGGTTGTTTCTGTGCTCTATGACTCTCTGTCCAAAACCTCTCCATATTCATTGGAACTGTCAAAAATGTCATGGGATTTAGTTCTGCTTGGCTTTAAAATAATAACAAGTTTTGTAGTTTAAATAATATCAGTGCCAAAACATTGATTTTCCTGCTCATCTAATGCTGTCTAGACTGCTGTGTTTCTCCAGTTCCACACTGTCTCCAGCATCTGCAGTTCTTGCTATCTCCAAGTGACTGAAAACCCTACTGCCAAGCCTCTTTCAAGGATGCCCACCTTGAAGAAGTTGTCTTTCTCCTTCAGAAAAGATCTCAATGGATTCCTCTCTCACTGCAACCCACCGGTGATCTCCTTTGCCCTGAAGTTCTTCTACCACATACTGAAACAAAATTGTTACAAATTAAGGGGGTAGCTATTGGCACCCATATGGGTCTGAGCTATGCCTGCCTCTTTGTAGGATAGGCGGAATAATCCCTCTTCCGCTGTTACACCAGCACCATCCCTCACCTCTTCCTCTGCTACATTGATGACTGTATCAGTGCTGCCTTGTGTACCCATGAGGAGCTTGAACAGTTCATCAACTTTACTAACACCTTTCAACCCAACCTCAAGTTCATCTGGACCATCTCCAATACCTCCCTTCCCTTCCTGGACCTCTCCGTCTCTATCTCTGGTAACCATCTCAACAATGACGTCTATTTCAAACCCACTAACTCCCATAGCTACCTTGACAACACCTCCTCTCACCCACCCTCCTGCAAGAATGCGATTCCTTACTCCCAATTCCTGCGCCTCTGCTGCATCTGCTACCAAGATGGAACGTTCCACTCCCGGACATCCCAGATGTCCTCCTATTTCAAGGACCCCAACTTCCCCTCTCCGATGATCAAAAACGCCCTCAACCGCATCCCTTGCATTTCCCGCACGTCTGTCCTCAAACTTCCTCCCCCCAACAAAAATAAAGACAGAGTCCCCCTGATCCTCACATACCACTCCACCAACCTCCGCATCCAGCACATCATCCTCTGCCACTTCCGCCACCTATATTCCAAAACCACCACCAAAGAGGTATTTCCCTCCTCACCCCCATCTCCCTTCCATGGGGAGCACTCACTTCGTGATTCCCCCATCCACCCTACATTCACTAACAACCCCACCAAACCCGGCACCTTCCCCACAACTGCAGGAGGTGCTACACCAGCCCCTATAACTCCCCTCTCACCTCCATCTGTGGCCCCAGACAAACTTTCCAAATCCAATGGGGATTCACCTGTACGTCCTCCAACCTGGTCCACTGTATCCAATATTCCCGATGTGGCCTCCTCTGCACTGGTGAGACCAAGTGCAGACTTGGGGACCGATTCGTGGAGCATCTGAGCTCTGTATACAATAATTAACAACACCTTCCAGTTGCTAACCATTTTAACTCCCCCTCCCACTCTCTTGATAACATGTCCATCCTGGGTGTCCTCCAGTGCCACAATGACGCTGCACGCAAACTGGAAGAGAAACATCTCATATTCCGCCATAGAATTCACCAGTTTTAAAATCTCCCCACCCTGGCTTCATCCCGTGTCCAAGCCTCCCTCTCATCCCTGCCTCCTTGATCCGACACAATGTGTACATCTTCTTCCCCACCTATCCACCCCACCCACCTCACTGACCAATCACAACTACCCCTATCTGCATCCAACTATCACCATCCCACCTACCTTTCTCCAGCCTCACCCCTCCTCCCTCAATTTATTTCCCAGCTACCTTCCCCCTCCCCATTTCTGATGAAGGGTCCTGACCCAAAGTGTTGACGTGCTGCTTGTCTGATGCTGCCTGACCTGCTGTGTTCCTCCAGTTCCACACTGTATTGATTCTGACTCCAGCATCTGCAGTTCTTGCTATCTCTGAGAGCCTTCTCTTTCATTGTGTTGAGGAACATCTGAAGGCTATCTTTAAAGGATTTGTGCTGCATGACTGATTCTCCAACCTAACATTATATTAGTAACAGCCTTTTAAGTGAATAGCTTGAGTGATGGCTCCAAGTGGTGACAGAAATATTTGTTTACAATAGAGAAGGGATGATATATTTAAATGAAATTTCCTAAGAGATCAATTGAAAGAAGTTGATAAGTCACTGAGGGCTAGCATGCAGGTACAAGAAGTTATTAGGATGGCCAATGGAATTTTTGGCTTTGGTGCAGGAAACTATGAGGATGGCCAATGGACTTTTAGGTTTTGTCACAAGGGGATTGAGTACAGGAGCAGTGAAGTCTTCCTTCAGTTGAATAGGAGTTTAGTTAGACTGCACCTGGAGTGTGTAGTTTTGTACGTATCGTAAATTAGTGTCATAGAGGGAGTGCAACAAAGATCTTGCAGACTTATTCCCAGGATGGTGGGACTGTCCTATGAAGAGTGATTGGGCAAACTGAGTGTGTGTTCTCCAGAGTTTTGAGGATTGAGAAGTGATCCCATTGAAAACTACAAAATACTTAAAGACATAGTGTAGATGCAGGGAAGATTTTTCCCCTGATTGAGTAGTCCAGAACTAGTGGCACAATTTGAAAATAAGGGGGATGCCACTTATGACTAAGGTGAGTAGAATTATTTTTTTCACTCACAGGGTTGTGAACATTTGGAATTCTCTACCACAAAGGATTGTAGAAGCTCACTCTTTGAGTGTATTTAAGGTATAGATGGATAGATTTCTGATTTCCAGGATTATACAGGGTAATGGGGTGTGGTAAGTAAAAGGCATTGATCAACCATGATGGTATTGAATGGTGGAATAGGCTGGGTGGGCGAATTGGCCTGCTCTTGTTCCTATGTTCCTAATTAAATTCTGACACAGCGCCGATAGACTTTTTGCCTATTCCACATCTGTATCCAAGCAGCTTCCTGAAACAAAAACCCAATCCTTGGGCCATTCTTTCTGGGATCTCCTTTGCAGGGCCAGAACTCTAAGTTCCTCACATGGGAGTGAAAATCTGAGCCTATATTTCTGCACTCACACGGGATATATAGCACCGGAACAGGCCATTCGTGCCAACCAATCTTGCTGAGTGATGTGTGCTCCACTTGAGCCTTCTCTCACCTTTCCTGATCTAAACTCACAGTGGTAAACCGTTCTCTCTGTATCAAAGGCTTATGCAGCTGCCTCTGCCACACATTGATAACATTCACTTCAAATATTGTTTGTGTGAGTTCCCCATTCTAACACCGTCTTGGATAAAGAGTTTTCTCCTGAATTTTCCCATTGGATCCCTTGGTGACTCTCTCATATTGATGCCACAAGAACTGGGAGCTGTCTGCCTGGATTGTCTGGACTAAAAGCCAGGAGGCTGGAGGAGCAGACGCAGGCAGAGGTGTGTATCATTGTCTGGGACCCCTGTCCCTGACCTTATTTCTCTGAACCCCATTCTCTCTCCCCCACTGTGGGAACTCCTCCCCTGCCTGTGCCTGGCCCCAGGCTGTAGGAAGCGGCTGATTGACGGGTCGCCTGTTTCTCGGTTTTTCAAGATCCCTATCGCTGGTTTATAAGCGGCTGCGGGCGGGGTGAGTGCCTGAGAGTTGGAGCTGAGCTCACTGTGTCCCACAGCGAGTCACCATGCAGCCTCCTGCCCAACGGAACCCCACTTTCCCCGGGAGTCGGCGCTACAAGACTTTCCTGATCGAGGAGATTTTGGCCAAGGAGTCCCGCGGTTACCTAGAGCTGACCCTGGGCTCCCGACCCGGCTTCATCGTACGTCCACAGGCTCTGCACTCCTGTCCCGGTACGAATTCTATATCTGAATGTCAGCGCTTCCCTGTCGCAGTGTGTGCCCTTGGCATTCTCCCCTGACTCTGGGCTTACTCCACCACCCCAGGCTCTCTCTCCACCCCTTCACAATCCTCTGCCCTGTCCCATTCCCCTCTGCCCTGTCCCATTCCCCTCTACCCTGTCCCATTCCTCTCTGCCCTGTGCCATTCCCCTCAGCCCTGTCCCAGTCCCCTCCACCCTGTCCATTCCTCTCTCCCCTGTCCCATTCCCCTCTCCCCTGTCCCATTCCCCTCACCCCTGTCCCATTCCCCTCAGACCTGTACCATTCCCCTCTGCCCTCACTGTCCCAATTCCCTAACTTTCTCCCATTCCCTCCCCACTTCCCCATTCCCTTTGCCCATTCCCATACCCTCTCCCCGTCAGAGTTCGCAAAAGGGACCACGCTCCTGTGTCGGGAAGGGGTCTCCGAAACCACTGACCGCGGCTGAAAAGAGTTTTGACAAACTTCACGAAGTTTCGCTTTCTCCCCGCGGTTCCACCAGTGCTGGGGGCGGTTGTCTAATGCTTTGTAGAGATACCCCAGATCTCCAGGACTAACACCAGAAAGTTAGGGAAGAGGTTTGGACAGTGGTCTCGTTAGCTGTGACATCCCGCGCCAGGGACCAGTGTGACTGTGAGCCGGATCCCAGGGCCAGCGGTGAACACGGAACCTGTTCTATATTCATTTTTCAGCTGCTAGTGAACGAAATCCCCATCCACTAGATCAAGGATATTCGAGAAGGTTAGATTTAATTTTTAAAAATCCTTCCTCACACTGAGGTTCCTTGTCCACTCGAAATAAGCACAATCTTGCGCCTAACTTTACAAAATGCACAATCTTCCACCAAACTCACTCACACTAACTCTTTACTAGGATAGAGGTCCCTGGAACACTGCCTCTCACTGGGCTAGCGTCCCCCACAAGCACACACTGCCTTTCACTGGGCTATGGGTCCCCCACAAACACACACTGCCTTTCACTGGGCTATGGGTCCCCCACAAACACACACTGTCTTTCACTGGGTTATGGGTCCTACACACACACACACACACACACACACACACACAGCCTCTCACTGGGCTGTGGGTCCCACACTGACTCTCACTGAGATGCAGGTCCCATACATCCTAACCCCAGTGAGGGTCAATGTGCCACAGGGGTCGCATTCACGCTGACTCTCACTGGGACGGGGGTCCCATGCATTCACGTTGACTCTTACTGGGGTCTTTGGGCTCTGACTATTGTGAGGTTCTGCTTTCGTCTCTCTGTGAACATTTTCTCGGGTGAATAGTGTGTGGACCCTGGAGAAACTTCAGAGAAGATGCAGGTAGTCGAATGCCTGAATTCTGCTAAAACCACAGGGAATTCACTCAGGGAGAGCTGGGGAGTTTCAATGGGGGTGAGAGCTGGGGTCTCTCGCTGAGGAAATGCTGGTGGTCCCACTGGATGGGTGGCAGCATCCAGTGAGTCTTGGGGGTGGGAGCATGGAAGTGAGTCACACTGTTGGGGAGTGCGGAGCTGAGGGGCCTCACTGAGCACAGCTGGGAGTCCCCACTGGGCAGAGGAGCTTGGGAGTCTCACAGGGTAAGAGCTAGGGTTTCACACTGTGTAAAACGGAGGTCTCACCTGGTGGTGAGCTGATGGGTCTCACAAGGAGAGCTCAGAGTCCCAGTGGAGGACAGCTGGTGATCTCACTAGGGGGAAGAAAGCTGAAGGCCTCGCTGGGGAGAGTTGAGAGTTAAATTGGAGAGAGTTTAGGTTTCACAGTGGAGAGCTGGATGTTTCACTGGAGTACAACTGATGGTCTCACTATGGAGAACTGGGAGATTCACCACAGGGAGATCTGGGTGTCTCACCCAGGCTCTAACACTCATTCCCTAGCATCTCTCTCTCAGTCTGTGCCACCTCCCATGGTGGTTGGTTTTACCCATGGGCAGAGTAGAATTGGAGCCTGTCTGTTCCTTGCGAGTTTCTGTCTGGTTCAGTGGGCCCAATGACCTCCTTCTATTCTGCAGCATTCCTGTCATTCTGTAATTACAGCATCTCACTCTTGGGCCACCCAGAACACCAGGAGCCACTGAGACCCCCAGTGCTGCTCACTTTGTCTTGGGAAATGTGCCTGAAACAACCTGGAACAGTGCAAACTGAGTGCAGCTAGAATTAGCTCCCACAAGCTCAGCATTTGAGACCAGATAACACAACTCCTGGGATCATGGGATCCTATACAAAAGTCCACAGGATCTGGGGAAAGTTCCCCAATCACTGGGACCTGGAGACAGATCCCACAATTTTCAATTCCGGAATCGGATCCCACAAACTCTAGAGCTGTGCAGCAGTTTCCAAAATCCTAAGAATCCAGGATCATATGCGACAATCCCTGGGAGTATTACCAGATCCCTTAATCCCTACCGTCTGGGATGGGATTCCACAATCACAGGGCATTCTGGATCTAGTTACAATATCATTTGGATCGAGGGCAAGTTCCACAATCTTCAGGATTTAGATCACATTCCATATTCCCAGAGCTTCTCGGAATATATTCCACAGTACATGAAATTTGTGACCAAATTCCACAATCCCCAAGAACTCGGAGTGGCAGATGGAGTTTAATTTAGATAAACGTGAGGTGCTGCATTTTGGAAAGGCAAATCAGGGCAGGACTTATATACTTAAAGCTAAGGTCCTGGGGAGTGTTGCTAAACGAAGAGACTTTGGAGTGCAGGCTCATAGTTCCTTGAAAGTGGAGTTGCAGGAGGGTAGGATAGTAAGGAATGCATTTGGTATGCTTGCTTTTATTGGTCAGTGTATTGAGTTCAGGAGTTGGGACGTCATGTGCAGCTGTACAGGATATTGGTTTGGCCACATTCGAAGTATTGCATGCAATTCTGGTCTCCCTCCTATGGAAAGAATGTTGTGAAACTTGAAAGGGTTCAGAAAAGATTTACAAGGATGTTGTCAGAGTTGGAGGGTTTGAGCTATAGGGACAGGCTGAATAGACTGGGGCTATTTTCCTTGGAGTGTCGGAGGCTGAGGAGTGACATTATAGAGGTTTATAAATCATGAGCGGCATGGATAGGGTATATAGGCAAGGTCTTTTCTCCAGGATGGCAGTCCAAAATTAGAGACCATAGGTTTAAAGTGAGAGCGGAAAGATATAAAAGGGACTTAAGAGACAATGTTTTCACACACAAGGTGGTGGTGATGTATGGAATGAGCTACCAGAGGAAGTGGCGGAGGCTGATACGATTACAATATTTAAAAGGCATCTAGATGGATATATGAATAGGAAGGGTTTAGAGGGATATGGGCCAAATGGTAGCAAATAGGACTATATTTATTTAGGATATCTGGTTGGCATGGACAAGTTGGACCGAAGGGTCTGTTCCCATGCTGTATATCTCTATGACTCTATAACTCAGATCAGATTCCATAATCCCAGGAGAATTCTGAGGACAGATGAACAGTTGAAAAGCTGCTGGCATCTGATTGCCCCATGCAGAACCAAAATGGTCACTGTGATTGTGGCAGTGCCAAGCCAGCATTCCTGAGGCATTTAGCATTTTCAGCTGCTCCCCCTTCTGGGTCACCGGACTGAGCTAGTACAGTCCATTAGGAAACAGTCGCTAGCAGCTCAGTGGAGGGAAATAGCTGTAAACAAAAGAGCTGTGTGCATACTGAGAGGACGGTGTGTCAAGTCGATGTGGGAGGGGATTGCACATGCAGATTGTAGATTCTGAGCCCATTGCTGAGTGAATGGATCACAATGTTGCCTCATCACTGATCCTGAACTGTGTCTAAACTGTCAATAATGTGTTTTACCCTATCCAGAAAGTGCCCATTCTGTGAGTGGTTCTTGTGTAACTTTGCTTTAGAGTATTGGGTCTTTACCCTTGTGTTTGGCAGCTATTGCCCACTATAGTTAGTTGGCAATAATATTCCAAGGTGAAAACAGTGTTGCTGAGCATTGGATGCATTGAGAAAGCAGCAACTGAGCACAATGGTTTCTGGAATCATTGCACATTGTTGCATATTTGTGAATAAGCAAAGCTCACACATTTGCATCACATGTACAGCTCACATATATACATTCTAACAGCTTCACTTGACAGTCACCAACTCTGGATGACCTAAATGAATTTCCCTTCCCAATCCAGACAATACTGAGAGCAAGTTTAATGCTTTTGAAGTCACTACTTTAGCGCAGAATTGGAAGTCGTGTGTTAGTCATTATTTAGAATGTTGCTGGCTATTTTCCAACTGAAACTACGATGTTCCAAAAGAAACTCATCCTTAAAAAAAAGGTATGTGTTGTTTGCAGTGCCCATGACGTATTTACAGAGGTATGATGCCAGGGTTGCCCAGACACTGTCTCTGTAATACCTACACCCACTGGTCACCCACTTGTGATAACAAGGTGTAGAGCTGGATGAACACAGCAGGCCAAGCAGCATCATAGGAGCAGGAAAGCTGACGTTTCGGGCCTAGACCCTTCTTCAGAAAGACCCTCCTTCACCCACTTGTGCTCATTTCTGTTGATGCTAACGTTTGGGCAGTTTTCAGTTGTTACTTCTGAGTTGTAATTGTAAGATTTTGCCTTCATTAGGAGATATGGCATCTACCAGATGTCACAATAATGACATGGCTCTAAGATGCTGTCGATGATAGCGTGAGCTGTACAGGATGATGATGTGAGTAAAATTGTCTCAGTAGCACAATTGGAAACCCTGAGTTCCATGGCACTACAGTTAGCCTCTGCAGCTGTTTGCTTTGACTATCTTTACATCTGTGCTCCCACATCCTGTCTTTGCTTGGCTCCTGTCAAGTCCTCAGACAGACAGAGCAGAATACACTGCTGCAGTACACATGGTGGAGAGTGGATAATATTCTTAGCAATTGAACATTGATTCTTATTGCTGGTCAGGATCTCACTGGTGGTATGATTTGATCAGTTCTGGGATTCTCAACATGAGATA